TTCAAATTCCTGGGATCTTGGAGGCACTAACACTGATTGCAGGTCAGTGCTGGCCATGGTGTCACCAGCAGAGCAAAGAGCTCATCAGCTCAGACAGACGTGGATTTCCTCCCACTAAAACCAGCAGGTGGTGAATGCAAGGGAATGTGTTGCTTTCCAAATTTTGTAAAATATTATTAAATATAAATGCCTCCTCTGGAGTATGGCCATTGAGACAAGATGTTGGACTCTGGTTTGGTTGTGCTGCAGCAGAGAGGAAAATTCAACTACTAGTTTATCACTGAAAAGTCCAGTTTAAAAGCAGGAAAGCGAAGCAAATGGAGCAAGAAGTCAATTTTCCAGTTAAGAAAAACATTCAGAGGTATTCAATTCTCCTTATTCCATATGTTTGTCAATGTTTTGATTTCCTAGATATAAACAAATCACATAGTCCTTTTTGTTTACATGTTTTTCTTAGATTTTTTTTCTCCTGTCCTTCAGGATGATATACTGGTATACTTTACAAAAAATAAATATATAATGGATAAAATTGTGCATATCTTTTTCAACTAGACTTGGAAATCTGGGCAGTTTACTGGGACCACCTGTGCTACCAACAGTTTTGTTTCCCTATCAGGATTTATCTTGTGGCTAAAACATTAGGAGAGCTGAAAGGAGCTTTCCCTTGAAAAGGAGGTTCCACGCTGTGTTCCAGAGGAAACTCTCTATGTGCCTGATGGTATTTTACTTCATTCTTAGTGAGTTATAAGGCCCCAGCTCTGAGCAGTATCTATGTCTTTAATACAAGACTTTCCAGGCAGCTATTAGATTGTTTTAATTTTAAGCTCTTTTACTATGAAATATGAGTCAAAACCTTGAGTCTCTTTTGCAGTGTATTTGCTAGAGAAAGTCACAGTCCATTGCCGTTCAGATGAGGTGTTTAGTATGTCTCAGATGTAGCCCAGCACAATTCAATTTGTTCTGCACCAAAAAAAAAGGCTTGAAGGATCTTGTGGGAAGAGGTGAATGTGAGAGACAGGAAGTTCTGGTTGAGCAGCATGAAGAAAAGATTAATGCCATCAAACCTTTAGCAGAAGGTTTTGATTACTAGTTTTAATTAATACACAGTTTTTGCAGGACTGTGTTCTATCCTATCAAATTTTATTGGCTGTCATGTATCAATTTACAGCTACACTGACTTTTCTTCATTAGTTCTGTCTAGCTCTCCTGTTCTGAACTGTATTGTTTAGCTTTATTCACCCGTCCTCCTTCCCTTCGGTTGGGGGGGGGGGGGAAAGTAAATTTCCCGAAGGAGATTGAGAGGAGAAGTTGTTTTAACTTTTGAGGGGAAAAAGACTTGACTTGCAGGAGACTGAGGGGGCCCTTCACGGCCATCTGCTGCTTCCTCATGACGGGAAGCAGAGGGGCAGCTCCCGTCCCTGCTCTCTGTGACCAGGAGCAGGACTTGGAGAATGGCCTGGAGCTGTGTCAGAGGAGGGCTAGGCTGGATATCAGAAAAGGTTCTTTCCCCAGATGGTGTCGGGCACTGCCCAGGCTCCCCAGGGAGCGGTCATGGCCCCAAGGCTGCCAGAGCTCCGGGCGCGTTTGGACAGCGCTCTCAGGGATGCACAGGATGGGATTGTGGGGTGTCTGTGCAGAGTCAGGACACGTTTCCAACCCGGGATATTCCAAGCTCAGGGCCCCACAGCAGCAGGAGAAGCTTGCCGGGACAGACCAGGGCTGCATGAGGGCGGCGCCGCCGCCTTCCCCCGAGCGGGGCCGGGCCCGAGCCGGCCGCCGTCGCGCCGGGCGGGGCCGCGGGAGGAGCGCGGCGGGGCCGAGATGGCGGCGCGGGCCGGGCGGTGCTGCCGGGCCGGGCTGAGCCGCGGGGCTCTGCTGTCCCGGGCCCTGCTGTCCCGGGCCGGCGGGGCCCCGGCCGCACCTCGCTGGGGACGCGCCGCTTTTTCGTCTGCGCCCGCGGTGAGCGGCAGGGAAGGGCCGCAGGCTCGGGAAGGTGAGCGCGGGGTGCCCGGCGCGGGCGGGCTGAGCGCCGGCACGGCGGGGCGCACGGCAGGCAGGGCTGCAGCGGAGTGGTGCCTGTGTTAGGTTGTTCCCAAGGGGAATTGCATCGCTGAGTGTACTCCTGGGAAGCCTTTGGTGTCGTGCCTGGCCAATGCCATGGGGAGCAGTGAATCTGGGTTTTCCCGATGGGCGTATGGAGCACGCCAGGTCGCTGAAAGCGCCTCTGAGCGATGTCCGCTGACGCTGTAGTAGCGAAAGGTGACCTGTCCTGACCTGAAATTACAGGTGTTTGTAACAGAAATAGTAACATTGTTGTGACGTGTGGCTGTATGTGAAAGCGCCACGAAAAATGTAGGTCGAGGGATAAAGGAATGCTGAATATTAATTGTTGGAGCGCCCTGAACAGATGTACCGTTCAGTTTTAAGATTTTAATAGCAAGAAAAGGATGAAGAGACATAAAGTTCTCAGTTAAGGGAAACAAATAACATGTGAAACCCACAAGTTTTTATGGGGTAGGGTTGTAAGATTGAATGATATAAAAGTGAACCCAAACATCCCTTCTTAAATCTTTGCTTTATGCTAAATATGTACAATCTATGAAACCTCTGAATTCAAACCAGACTCTTGAAAATAAATATCGTCAGGTTCACCTTTTTATGTCTGAGGTCACATTATATTCTGGTGTGGTTTTTGGACAGTGGGATTTGGAAGTGTTTTAGAGTTTGAGGAGGAAATGAAAACAGACAGGTATGCAAAGATCAGTGTTTAGTTTGAAAATCCAGCAGTGGTATTGGTGACTTAATGCATCCTTAGGGATCCCTCACCACAGCTCCAGGTGAAATCAGTGAGCTATAAAGTAGAGCCAGGAGAAACCCAGACCTGAAATGGATAAAACTCTTTCACTTCCCATTCCACTTTCTCTGGAACTGCCCAGTGAACAGGATCAAGGTGTTCACCATCCCCAGTTCTAGAAGAGAAACAATCCAATGTCTGAACTGTTCATACAGGGGTTAGTTTAAGCTGTGCTGTCAGAAGGAAAGGATGGAGCCATGGCACTCTCCTTTTGGAAATAGGAACTCTTGAGTTTATCCATCTTGTGCTGCTGGTGGAAAGTGATTTGTGGCTGCTGTTTGGGAAAGAGGAAAGGGAGCATAGGAATGAAGGCAAAAGTGTCCTTCATTTTTGTCCTCCAAGTTCTTTTTTATCTTACTTTTTACAAAATTAATTGGTAATCTTTAGTTTTGAGTATCTGATCTTCCCCTTCTTCCATGTAAAGACTGGGGACTATTACTGAATATTGTCACAAAACCAAAAAAAAACATACAGAATTATGCTATGTTTTTTGCTCCCAAAACTATAGGTTAATTTATTTTAAAAATATGTTTTTGTTAATGTATTTTGTTTTTCCTTCTTTCAGATTCAGTAAGGAGAAGAGGCAGGACACCACAGTTTGCAAGATCAGTAAGTACTGAAATTTACAGGTAGCTTAGGTGTTTGGGAAAGTTTTCTAAGCTGTGTGTTGTGTCAGTTTGCCCAGCAGCCCCTTCTGCAGTCAAATCCTGGTGAAACAATCCCCTGAGACCATTCCAGGCCAGCACCTGCCTTCTGTAACCTTTTCAGTCTACGTTATCAAAAATTAAAAATACAACACTAAGCTGATACTACACCATGTAGTACAGGTCTGAAAAGTAACTTAAACTTGCATTTCCAATAACTCAGACATGTCAATGTTGTTTTCAGACTGAGTTTACAGGATTTCTGGTGCTTGCTTTCTGGCATAAAGCTTTTCTTTTTCTAAGAGCATTTGACTGAAATGATGCTCAGTTTTTGGAGGGTATAAGCTATTTCTATGATGTACTGATATGTTGTCCCTACACTGGAATTTCTGTGGCAAGAAATTTCAGCATTATTAATTATGAACTCTTCCACACTTACAGAATTCCAGAATTTTAAAACTCATTGTCTTGTCTCCCACCACATATTCAGGCCCTTTAGGAAATAGAGTTTGCAATTCTGTACTGGTTTGATTCCCCCTCCTCATTTGTCCCAAGGCAGGAAGATGGCAAGTTCCTCTTCCTAAGCATCTGTGCCATCAAATGCAAAAGACTGGGAAAGGCCTGGCAGCTAAGATGGGAGTGGCTCTCAGCTAAAAATTCCTCTACAAATCAGTTCTAACTTTGGCTGTAAAGGTGTCTTGAAATGTTCAGTTGTGGGAATTGGTTCTTGAAATCATTATGTGATGTGTTGATCCTGCCTTGTCCTATATCTTGTGTATCTCCCATCCCACCTGTCTCCTTTTCCCTTGATCAGGCTGCACCCCCCAGGACGGAGAGGATGGCTGTGGATCAGGACTGGAGCAGTGTGTACCCAACAGCAGCTGCCTTCAAACCTGCCTCTGTGCCTCTCCCAATCCGAATGGGTTACCCAGTGAAGAGAGGAGTGCCTCCACCAAAAGAAGGCAACCTAGAACTTATCAAGGTAAAGCATGTGCTATGGCTGGGGGTCACTTTTAAAGTCACTGTTCACTAAGGCTGTACTGCTTTGATTGGAATATTTGTCTTGGAGACTGTCTTCTGCTATTAAGTCACATGATCCTCTTGAATTTTTAAGTGGTAACAAATGTATAGTTAATTAACAAGTGAATGATATCAGGAGACTTTTTATGATTTTCATGCCTGTTACTTTTGTCACAGAGTTAAGTTTTTCCCTAAATCAGATTTGAGAAGAGTCTGCTTAAATGAATATTTCCTTAAGCATGTTATACTGCCCTAGCAAATGTGAGAAGTGTAGTCAGATTTCAGTAATGCCCATTTACTTTTATCAGACAAAAAACTATTATTTTGGTAACTCTTAATATGTCTATTTCAGATCCCAAATTTTTTGCATCTTACTCCTCCTGCAATTAAGAAGCACTGTGCAGCTCTTAAAGGTAAGGGGGGGTTTGATGGTTTTTGTTTGTTTGTTTGTTTGTTTTTTTAAACCATCTCTGGAAGTTTTCAGATAAAGCAAGATATAACTGTATGTGATGGAGGTGAGACATGGTACACTTGTGGAGCTGGTTATTCAGCTGGCTGTGGCTGATACTGTCTGCTTTCCTGCTGGTGCCAGGAGTCACCCAGGTGGTAGCAGATAAGTCTCAGGAGGTTGTCAGCACAAGAGTAGGACTGAAATGTTACTTTTGCACAAGACCTTGCTTGAACTAATGAGTTGATAGTTCTGTGCTTTACAGAGGGTGAGTGATGAATTTGACTCGGTTCTCAGAGAACTCTGAACCAGGCTTCAATCAGTAGCCATCATGGGCTGCATTTAATGACCAAAGAGCTATTAATATGAGGCCCTCTGTGAGAGCAGGGTCTGCTGGGGAGATGCAGGGTCTGCTGGGGAGATACAGGATCTACTGGAGACCAGGAGCATCCTTCCACCCCGCAAGCTTGTAAGGGGAACCTGATGAGGAGCTCAGGCAAAGGAAGCCTTTTTTGTGGTGAAGGTGGTGAGACACTGGAAGAGCTTGCCCAGAGAAGCTGTGAATACCCTATCCTGGAAGTGTTCAGGCTCAGTTGGACAGGGCTTTGAGCAGCTGGATCTAGTAAAAAATCCAACCCAAACCATTCTGTGATCCTATTTGGCAATTGTGACACTGCATCTGCAGTACTGTACTCTGTTTTGAGGAGGCCAATACAAAGAGAGATATGGTAATATTGGAGCAAGTCTAGCAGAAACACTGCTGTTACCTAAATGAGTGTAGTTCCTAGGACTAGTTCTTTTAAAAACATATATTGCAATACATTTGAAAGGAAAAAAGCTCCAGCCAAATGTACCAGATAGATATTACTCAGAGTGTTTACTCTTTATTGTACAGATTTCTGCACTGAATGGCCAAGTGCTCTGGACAGTGATGAGAAATGTGAACAGCATTTTCCCATTGAAGTTGAAACAGTAGATTATGTTTCTTCAGGGACTTCTATTCGGAATCCCAAAGCAAGAGTGGTGACCTTAAGAGTAAGTAGTAGTTTTGGTAACAGCCTTTGTTTCAAGTTCCTAAATGCTTGGCTCTCTTTTCTGAACATGCAAGTGTGATCTTCTGTAAGGAAATAAGAGAAATGGTGGGAATTCAAAATCACACAAAAATAAGTACGTCTGTGTGTTCCTGACAAAATCTGTCCATTCATATTTACTGGCCTTGGGACTTGTAAGGCACTGGGGGGATGTGCGGATACTGTGCAGGTATATATTGTTTGAATACTCACATCATTCTTGCCTTATGTTAAAACATCAATATGATACAATCCAAAGAAATTCTGCAAATGCATCCTGAATAGCTCTCCTTGATAGAAGATCTGCCTGTCTCAAGTACTTCCAGAGTTCAGAGTTTGGATTTTCCAAGGAATTAAAGTTGTTTTCTCCTTTTCTTGAAGGTTAAACTTTCTAACCTGAATTTGGATGACCATGCAAAGAAGAAGCTCATTAAGCTTGTGGGAGATCGGTACTGTCAGGAGACAGATGTGCTCACAATTACAACAGATAGGTGAGCTGCCAGAAGGAAACAAAAATATTGTAGCAGTGCCCACAGCAGAGAAAGGGCTGGGTATCTTCTAGTAATACCAGTTATTGTCTTGGTGAATTGTTATATTTTAAGGCTAATGTGGGACTTCATTAACACTATTCCTGTTACTAACTGTTAAAAACAGGTTTTTAAAAGAGTTCAGACTTAATGTGTGTTGGATTCCTCTTTGGCACAGGGGGCTGTCTTGGTTTGGAAAGATAGGTGTCTGCTAAGGAAGGCAGGAGCCTCCCCTGAAATAGAAAAAAAAAAAAAAAATGTAGACACCCTCCGAATTGTTATAAATTTGAAATTAAGGGGGGCTCTCAGACAAAAATACGGGAGCAGGAATAACAGTTCTTTATTAGGGAAGAAAATAAAAAGATAAACAATGCAGAGAACCAAAACAGCACTGACAGAGTCAGAATACAACCTGACAACCTGTTAGTCAGGGTGTTCTCAGCAGTCCAATTGGGAATTATGGCTGCAGTCCTCCTGGAGTGTCAGGTGTGGTTCTGTTGGAGCAGTGATCCTGTAGAAAAAGGGTGTAGTCTTCTTCTGAAGAGGCAGTGGAAGAGGCAGCTGTTCCTCTGGGAAATTCAATGCAGAAAAAGCCATGCTGGTGTTCCAGAAACTCAAGATTATATGCAGGTAGGAATACTTTGGCTCCTCCTTCTGGGCAGAGCATCTCACAATGAGATGACGTAACTTTTATCAGTCCTGCAGTGACATTCAACAGCAGGTGTCTCCCCTGGGAGAGGATTGATTGTGGAAGAGATAAAGAAAACGGCCCAATTAAGAAGATAACTGCCACATTTCTAACGGGTGGCAATTGGATACATCTTGCCTTGCAATCTAGGACAGCACCAAAGAAGTGTCTAATGTCTCCAGAAGATTTGTAAATTCTTGGATATTGTATATTTTCCTACAGCCTTGCAGCTGTCCATTCTTCTGTGTTGTTATTACTCAAGCCTCCATGGTATTCTTGGTTGTGTGTAATTGAGAAGTTCACAGGAATCAACCACTCATTTCCTAGGATTCCCTACATTACACAGTAGTAAATTTGATGGTAGGTTTTAACCTTTTGTTCAGAAAAATGTTTCTGCATTTTCAGGTGTCCCCTGAGAAGACAGAACTACGATTATGGTATGCACCTGCTCACAGTTCTGTACCACGAATCCTGGGTAAGCAGTTGTGTGTGGACTCTAAATGTGTTCTCTGTCATATTTTAAAGTAAATGACCTTACAGTTACATTCTCTTCTAACTCACTTTTCTTCAGATTCAACCAAGAGAACATTCTGCAGGATTCCAGCTCCTGTCTGTTAATTAGAATATGTTTTTTCTTGGGCTTTTCCTGGGCTGCAGTAAACCATGGCTGTCATTTGGAAGCGTTCAGCTTCTTAAATGCTCTCTCACATACCTTGTCTCAAGCTGACTGCTTTTCTGAGCTCTCCCTTGCTCAGAAAAGGGGTGGCCTTCCCACTTTCTGACTACCGATGTTCCTTTCACAGGGCATTCTTCACACTGGTCTCCTGTATTTTTGTGGTTTTGTTGGTGCCTTTCAACAATTTTACATAAAACAAGTGAGCAGTCTGAACTGAAATTGTTATTGTTGGAAATCTATGCTATTGTTGAATAGTAGTGTTTTGGATGACTGAACTTTGTTCAAATGTCCCATGTTATTATCACATTGTTTAAGACAGACAAAGCTTTCATCATCTCAATATGTCACTCTTACAGAAGTTGTACCTTATCCATTGCTAAAACTCATATGTACTGTTTTCAGTTTTTCTAGAGTAGGAAATGTCAGACAAGCACCATGGTTGCGCTGGGCTCCAGCTTTAATTAGTGCTGGCAGACAGGGCTATATAATATTGATATGGGAGTATTCAGTGTATATTGAGTATGCACAAGTCTCTTGCACTTTTATTACCTTTCATTCTCCATGTTAATATTTGATGAGTTTGTCAATCAGTTGTAATTGTCTTTGATTCCCATGAAAAATTAATGGTTTCCTGAGACATGGTTTTTTTTGTGTGACATGGTTTATTTTGTGGCATGGTTTTTTCCTCCCTGATCAGGGATAATGCCTTTCAATAACTTGCTGAAAAGTAGTTTGGATCCATTTTGTAAACCATGAGCAAACAGTGTGTGGTTTATTTTCATTTCCATGAGCTTTAATTTTGGAGGGGGACGGACAGGGCCTGGCCTTCCATTTAGGCAGTAACGTCAGTCCTGTTTGCAGAACTAATTGTAGGATTTGATGAATTTCCCAGCAGAGTAGTGCCACACTGTTAATGCATGTGGCTGATGGAATTGATTCAAAATATGAGGGCAATGTTCCATTCTTGCTGAGTGAAGGAAAGCTGGATCCATGTAACTTCTGCCCTCAAGCCTGAAAACTTTGCCCATGATCTCTTTAAATGTGGCAGAACTCCTATGATTTATGTTAATATCTGGATTACTGCATTTTGTCATACATGCATGCATGTATGAGGGGAAATATTATATGCAGATATATATCAGGAAATGGAATTTCAAGTGTAATTATGTTTTAGTTGCCAGTGATGCATCATCCTTCTATTACAGTTTCAAATGCAGTATCAGATCCATGAGTTCAGTTATTTTAAAACACTCTTAAAAATCTTCAAAACCTAAGAATATTCATTTATTTTCTCATTCTAAAATATTTGGAGATGTTTTTGTTTCTGTTTACTAGTTTTCTGGTTATTAATCAGATATTTGTGTTTTATTAGCTGTTAGGAGTATATTAATTAGATGGCTGACTTGCTCCAGTTAGTAAGAATTTTATTTCTCTTCTTTGGACTTCTTTGGTGATTCCTTTCAAATTATCCCCCAATATTGTGCATAAATTGAATTAATCAGTGAATCAGCAGTTTAACCAGTTGTATTTTTGCTGCCTTCAAATGCTGATACTGCATGAATGCTGTAACATCACTCCAAATGTGGATGTATGTTTATAGAACAAGTGGTTTTTAAAGAGTTAGAGTTTGCTGCCCTCGAGTGGTTGAAAGGATCATTGATGGATTTCTTCACACAGCTTGGATTAATAGTTTATCACTCACAAGTCCAATTCTGTCAGGAGTTGAAAGCAGGAATGCAAAGCAAATGCAGCATGAAATAAATTTTTCAGTAAGGAAAAACATTAAGAGTAATTAAATTTTTATTGCTCCAATTCCATGTGGTGTTTCAACATACACAGTATGAAGGAGAGTGAAGGATCTCAATTCAGCCTTGCTAAGCTGGGATCTTGAAAGATTACTAAAAAGTTGTCCTGGATTTTCTATTCTCCACTACTTCTTACAGTAAGAAACAGAATGGTGAGGGAAGGAAAAAATGAAGAATGGGCAGAGAGCATGTCACTGGAGGGTTAACTAGAATTTATCAACCCTGCAGCTGTACAGCTTGATTGAATTTCAGGAGAACTACTTTTGCATTTCTTTGTAGAGCTTTTATTGGTAAGGCACTGGTGGGATGCAGAGTCTGTGTTTGCATGCTGGATGGGTATTTTTACATGACCACTGATATAACACTCAAATCCATCATACCGCTTTTCTTTAGGCTTCTTCTTCATATTTTTTTTAACTACAGTCATTTTAAGCCATTCCAAATAAACATAACAGCAGAATTTTGCAGTTTCATGGTGGGAGTTTACCTTGTAATTCAGCCTAAAATATGTGGAAAATATATGAGTTCACTGCTGAAATCTAAGCAGGTCTCCAGCTACTTAGAATTCCAGAGTGGGTGTTAGCACACTCAGGTTGTTATGACATGGGGGGTTGTAGAGTTGCAGTGGCAGGTGGTGGAGGCACTCAAGTCTTGCTGAAGCTCGCTGGACACATTTCAGTATTACTGAAGATGTTCAGAGTGAAGCTCCTGACTTGAGGACCTTAGAACAGTGAAGGGTGGTGTAATTGTGCCCTCCCTACCTAGAACAGCCTTCTCTCTCAGTGTGGTGTAAGTAATGCAGACTGAGGCTGGTCTCTAAATGTTGGAACATGTCCTTTGTTTTGAACCATTGCATACTCACCAGAACTGGACAGCTGAGAGAGTCCTCATCACTAGTGGGAACCAGAAAAGGTAAAGCTAAAGTGGCTTTACAGTAGATGTTAAAGTTCATCCATTTTCTGAGTTCAAACATTTAAAATCAAAGGAAGGAGGTTTCCTGACAGGAAATGTGTATTCTAGTAGAAGAAGGTTACACTTTTTTTTGCACCTTTTGGAACCCAAAATTATGAGCATTCCAGCAAAAGGTTGAATTAGGAGTTGTCTTTGTAATATATCTGACTGTAGTAAGCATTTTGCAATACTTTATCCTTAAGCTCCATGTTTCTTGTTGCTGGAGGAACAAGGCTCCTTTTTGATGCATAAATACAATTTTTATAGCTGTTGAATTTTCAGTCTATGTTGGAGTGAAACAAAGTATTTTGGGGCATAGACATCAATAAACTGAACAGAAAATCATCAGACTTGGATTTTAATATCACCGGTCTCTCTTGATGAGATCAAAATCTTATCTGGTCAGCCTTCCAAAGCCAAAATGAGATAGGTAAATTACAAATTACCCTTTCAGAAACCTGGATTTTCCAGAAAATGCATGCAACTACTCCAGCCTAGAGAAATTAGTTTTGAAAGAGACTGATGGCAACTTTCCTGAGTTAGTTACAGAGCCAGAGACTAAACTTGAGAGTATCATTAATTATGGGAGCATCTCTTACGCAGTATTAGTCTTTGGGGCAGAGTTCTGTTTTTGTTTCTGTGCTTGTTTTCCTTTTGTGTTACACGTTTGTACCTCACTGGAATTTTTACCCTCACAGTTTCTCTTGATTTTCCCTTTACTCTCTAGAGGTCCTACCTGTCCTGTGTCATTGCTATGTCCTAGAAAATACAGTTCTGCTTATTCAGAAGAATGGATTTTAACTTATTCCACATCACCAAGCAATTGCAATTTCTGTATTCAATCTCATATGCTACAAATAAGTTCTGCCTTTCTACAAACTTCTGTTGATATTTCTAAGTTGTTTATTAAATAGTACAGATCAAAGTCTATTGTATCCAAAGAGGTAAGCACATAATTGTTTTGGCAACTCCTCTTAGGATTTAAGGTTCCCAGTAATTTGGAAAATGTTAGCATAGCTGTCATTTATTAGCTGAGAATCTAAGATTATTGTGCCATACAGAGCATCTTTTATTTTAATGCAATCCAAAGATATAGGTGTATTTATTCTAGCCTGCATGGAGTTTGAAATTTGACTTGGCATTTAAGGAACTTTGCTTCCCCTTAAAAATAATCCTTTTAAAATACCTGGTCTTTGCTAAACAGCATTAAATATTTAACTGTTCAAATTATTGATAAGAAAATTAACCAACATGAGTCATGTTTTTAATTGCCCTCAAGATTTCTGTGTGCCACTAGAGAAATTTTAGTTGAAATGTTTTTCCCAAAAGGAAGATCAGGGAACTGAAAATTTTAAGCCTCTGTATCACTGCAGCAACAAAGTCATGCAAGTTGAACAGGCAGAAAAAACTCCAAGCACATTGATAGTGAAATGCCTGCTTAAGAAATCCCGAATTCTTTCCTTTCTTCTGCACTTTAGGTACCATATAAAATGAAGCCTTTTGTTAATGATTTGCATGTAAAAAGCAACTTCACTGTCCAAAGTCTATTTTAGCATTCATACTCTTTCAGAATTCAGATTAAGCACTGTAAAGGCTTGCAAATCTCCCAAAATACTGGCTTAAACTGTAGCATAAAAGATTTGCTTAGAAACAAATCCTTATTATGTTTATGGCATTGAAAAATAATTCTTTATAGTTCCATTGGGAAGTGAAAAAATAGCCTTTTATGCCTTTTTAGTCATAGGATTAAATCTTTGACTTTATATGGAAAATTGTTTTCTGGTGTTTTGGTTTGGGTTTTTTTTTTTATTCTTTTTGTAAGTTTTTTAAGGGGAAAAGGTTGAAAGTATCAGGAAAGTATCAGCTGAGTGCATCTTTAGCCAAGCTAGATAATACCGAGATTCTATCTTATGTGTGATAGAATGAGAAAACCGTTTTTTGTGAATTGTTATTTTTAACCTGGTTCGCAAAGTGGGGATTCTAGGAAAACATTACACAATATCACACTTGGATTCCACTTCTAACAGTTTTATTCTCATTTTTAAGACTGCAGTCTTAAAACTGGCAAACAGTTTTTATCATGTTCACTGACAGGACAAAATCTGCAGGGGACAAAAATAATTCAACTAATAAAATTTGAGTGATAAAGTCCTAATTTTTGAACTTTTTTTAACTGTCCTTATTAGTGTTATTCATAACACTTTAAACTGAAACTGCAACATGTGTAACATTCCACTATTCAGGCTTCATGGTGCTTGTCTACCTAGACTATGTTTCAAATTGCCTATATAATTCTACAGTCACTTTTCTCTTGCAGTAATTTCTGTTGGAAAGGTATTAAAGTTTGAATGGGTACAGTTTGCAACAACTAATGGATTAGGAAATCTCCCCCTACCGTCAAATCCTTTCCTGCCTTCCCCCTCACCTCCCATCACACAGTCAGTTTTTATTTTCAAATCCATGTTGACAACATCATTCTGCTGGGAAGCATTCCAAGAAAGAAATACTCAACAGTTGCTTTAAAATCTTGCTTTGTAATGCTCACAAGAGGTAGGGAAATGTTAATCTGTTTATCAGCATGTATCTCCAGAATCCTTTGAGTTGCTGTGTACAGAGAAGGATATTCCTGAAGAGATAAATGTAATACTGTCATTAGTCCTTGTTGTCTCTGCTATGACTTAGAGGTGTTTAAAAGCCTCACAGGGATCTTTTGTTTGAACTTCAGACATGAGTTTGGTCCAGGGAGTGACCAGGAGTGATACCCATATTCCCTTACTCCTGAGAAACCCTATCCCTGTGAGAGAGGCTTTGGCTTGAAAATTCTGTTGGAGTTAAGGGAAAAAATGTCTTGAATAGCCACTCTGTAGATAAGTAGGGGATGTGTAAAACAGGATGATGCTGTTAATTTAAAACTCTAAATCTCTACCTTGGATTGCAGGGTTTGTCAAACAGACAAGAAACACTTCACTGTGCCCACTTGTTCCATTAATGTTTTAGCAGTACAGGACTTCAGGATGTCCTTTTGTTCCTGTTTTTCCCCTCCAGAAATTGAATGCGGAGGTCCTTTTAGTCCTGTGGTTTATTGTGTCCAGGGTTTAATGTCAGTCATTCGAGCCTTTGAGCAGTGTGAATTGCTGCTTCTGACTAAACATTTAGACTCAAAAGACAAGAGATAACATTTACCAGGTGCGGGACACAGCCGTTGGGAAGGTGTTTTAAATTCAGACAGAGGAATCCAAGCACGGAAGAGCTGCAGGGTGAAAAAAAATCTTGGGGCTTTAATAAAGGTTATTGACTGTGGTTTGACTGCAGCAACCTTGATGCTTAGTGGAAAGAATAACCTTTAAATAAACAAATGAAAAACAATACCAACACACACCCCACCTTATCTCCTTTGCAGAAAAGAAAAAGAAAAAAACAAAACATACCGTGAACAACAACAAAAAACCCTCCTCTCCCGACTTGCAAGATGTTTTTTTGGTTCTGCATATGGCTGAAAATTTACTGAAGAGCCCTTTTTGGCAAGTGATTTTAGAAAAGACAAAATCGGTGTGCTGTAAAGGCTTTATTATAAGGTTTCTTTGAATATATTTCTAGAGAAATGCAAGTTTTATTTAGGCATGATTTTATAACAATTGTAAGAAAAACATTAATAGCAAAACTAAATCCAAAATACTTCAAACTGTGATTCTTATGTAGGTGAGGTAATATAAAGGTATGATATATTGGTTACATCAGTAAAGTACTAAATAATTATAAATACTCAAACATACAGCCTGCAATATATAAAAATGCAAATATATCACTGAAGCATCTGTATTTATCAAAGTACAGTAAAAAATAGCAGGTTATAACATTTGAAATATTTCTTAAAGATTCTTTCAAGGCCATCTGTCCAAGGCTGGAGAGATGTTGAAGGATAGAATTGATACAGAACAAGTGTATTTACAGGCACTGAGATCGTGTGTTCGTCAGTGCCCTACTTGTGATCCTGTCTAATTTTGCAGCACTGATTAGGTAAAGATCAGCACCTTGTGGATAGAGATTCTGTTGAACAACGTATTTTGCAGGAAGAAGAAACGGATTTGTTGGTGGTGCTTTTCTTTGTGAGTCACATAATGGGTTATTCATTAGGCACTGTCTCACTTTTCCCCCACCAGCCAGCGTAGCCAGACCAGAACCCTCTGCTAGGGACATAAGAGCTGGGTGGCTGCTTCCAGAACTGCAGTGTTGAGAGCTCTTCAGAATTACTACTTTTGCAAAATTTTTAGTTATTCATTATGTATAGTCCATAAGCTTTTCCTCCCACTTTGACTCAGCTGGTTGTATCTGCCAGATACAGAAAGAACCTGATGAGTGGGGAAAAGGAGCTCATCCTGCTCATACAGGCTTGAGTTCCAAGCCTTGGGCTCTAGAGAAGGAAATACTTTCCACCATGAATGCGGTTTTTAAAGGGAATCACTATGAGAGATCAGTTTCTTCAAATTATTTTTGCTTAGTTTCAGTCTTGGGTAGTTTTGAAGGTTGTGCATTTTCTTTCAGAAAACTGAGAAGTGGGAGAGCGAGAAGTCTGAGGAAGACATGGAAGAGTATATCTGGGAAAACAGTCGTTCTCAGAAAAATGCCTTGGACACACTGCTCCGAATAAAAGCCTCAGAGAATGTCAGTAATGTCACTAAAGAGGAGCTGCTGGCATCTGAAGTGGTTAAGAATTACCGAAACTCAGTCATTGCGCTTAAAAATGAAGGTGAAACAGAAAGTAACATGTCTCAGTACAAGGAATCTGTGAAGAAACTACTGAATATACAAGCATGAGAAGACCTGATCTGCAGGTACACCTGATCATTGCAGAGGTGTTAAACTACTGTGTTAGTATTTCTAGTGATATGGATATACAACTATTAAGAACTTGAACAAAAAAATGAAACTTGACTATGAGTGGACAAATGAAACTTGTCCATGAATCTTGCCCTTTGAATAAAGTATGTTTGGATTCATACTGGTAACTGGAATGTTTTATTCTGTGTTTTGTTACCATGATCAGTTCGGTCCTCTGCTTAATCATATTCTGATTTCTAACACTTCTTTGGGCATTTAACCTAGAGCAACAGTGTCAAAACTAATGAAATGAGTTCATACTTCCAGTTCCATTAATTGAAAGTCTGAAAATTAGAAGCTCTAAATGCTTTTCAGATGCCATTCAGATTTTTGCCTGTGTGTAAAATTAGGATAATATTGCCTAAGAGTCTGACTAGGAGAGGTGTTGGAGCACTCTGGACAGTTCAGGTTCTCAGTTGGTATTCTGAGGGAAAACAAATATCCTGTGTAAAAGCACCTGTCTCTAAAATAATGGAGTAAAATAAGGTGGAAAATGGGATGGTAATGGGAAAGAGCCAGCAGTTGTTGAGAAGATCCCAGAGTATCTGGCATAGGAAGAATGATGAGAGTTGGTGAAGTGGGTTTGTAAGTAAATAGGAATAGATTGAGCCTTGTTACCCTCAGGCCCGCTGACTTGTCTCTTGAATGTACCCAGGCTTTTCAAGGAAAGAAAAAAGTTTGTAGTAGCATCCTGCGTAGCACAGAGGAAGAATTATATGGATGTTTATCTTATATTTGATATTTTGTAATTGAAATAAATGTATTTAAAACTCTAGAATCACAATTTTATTGCCTTCTTACAATTAAGAAAAAAAAACCCTACCAAATCTTGAAAGGACATAAATAAATCTTGCTTTTATTCTATATTCCGGGCTTATGAAGATTTCAACTTAGAGAGAAAATCATTCCCTAGAAGGGGCAGAGGGAGTTAAGGATTCTGCATGCCTATAGAAGATCTGCCCATGTGACCCTGCCAGCAGCTGGCTGGGCAGAAGCAGTATAAGAATAAGGATATTGAAAGCTGAGGGGACTTGATTCCTGCAGCGTTCTGTGTGCTGGACTCACTCCCTGTTAGGATTTCTCACTGTGTGCTCTGTGTGTACATACATTCATTCCACTGCCAAAACACTGTCAGTTTAGGAAGGATTCTTCTTAGGCCAGGGTTGTTTTCATATGGTGAGAGACTGAGTTTAATGCAGCATCTTAATTCCTATGAGAATTTGCCAGAGCTGTACTAAGACTGAAAATGTTGGTCCTGTAATCCAAATTTTGCACTGACTGACTTGGTTCTTTAGTAACCCTTTCTTTTTTATGTATATTAATGTGAAGTTTTAGCAGAAGCTTAATATGGGGAAAGTTTCAGCTGTTATCAGGTTGCTCCTTTATCCAGGGTCAATGAGGGTAATGTTTAAAATTCCCATTTGAAATGGGAACATCTGTGTTACTCCGAATCTTCTCTGAACAGCTGTGAAACCAAAGCTGAGGAAGTAAGTGCAGTTTGACTTGAGAGAATGGTGCCTGGAGTTGTGCCTGGCTCTGTTTGGTTCTAGTATGTGCACAGGAGAAATCTGTTTCCTTAATTAGCTTTGTCAGTGCCTGCACAAGGGCTGCCCTCGGAGCCAGCCTTGGGAGCCACTGGTGTGTACAAGGCTGGCAGGAGCAAGGCCCTGAAATGTCTTAAGAAACTCCATATCCTGTAAGTTTGCTTTCCTCCACAAAGCTGTCCTTCTGTACTCAGGAAATGTGAGCACCTGAGAAAATCCTCTGCAGCAGAGGACATTCCAATTTTGCTTTGCTTTTCATGGAATGGACCTAAGCAGAACTCTGGAAGTCATGGCTGAAACAACAATTTGACCTTATCAATAATAATGTCTGGTAGAAAGAGCAGCACAGCAAGGGAAACTGACTTTTTCATTAGCTTCACAGCTAATTGATGGAAAGCCTTAAATGCACAGGCTTCTCTACGTCTCTCTGAAGTGTTCAAGCCTAACTTAGGTACATCCTATAAATGTTTCAAGTAATATAGGTAGGATTTAAGGTGACTGTCTCCTGATCACCAAGTGTCTCTCCTGAAAACTGATGATGCCTACTGGCCAAGAACAATGTTGGGATAAAACTCAAACTTACACTTGTGATTTTTACGGATGGTTTCTAAGTTACAGTACAGAACTTGTGTAATGCAGAGGGCAAGACAAAAGGCAGCTTGGATGCTATTTTGGGCTGTTGGATGTTCCTCGCTGCTTTTCTGCTTCTCCCTGTATACTGTTTGTGTTTGAACGTGACAGTATTTCTCCGTGACTGTGCAGAATACCTCGAACACTGGGATTTTAACCCCTATGGGAGCCTTTCCAACCTCAAGGATATAAAATACAGCACATATTTTTAAGAAGTAAACTAAACATCTCTATTTTACTGTATAATACTTTTTCATCATTCATCTCTCTGGAAGCCTGTGCTGAAGTTTAAAAACTGAAGAATTAGAGATTAAGAGACTTAGAAGATAAAGCAGCTCTGCAGCACAATAATAAATGTGTCTTTAGCACTGGTCACTTATTTATGTGTGATGTACATTACAATGTAAATGACTGAGGTGTGCATCCCTCCGTGTACATCTGTGAGAACTTTCCTTTTATCTCCCATATAAACATTCCTAAGAGTGGACATTTTTTTTCCCCTGTTTTCAGGTATAGTGATGCTACAAGCATAAGGAAGGGATAAAGGGACAGTTGCCTAAAAAGGGATGTGCTGTCTGCACAAATCATCTTTCTACCCATTTCTTGCTTTCCCTCATACTGAAAATGTATTTATTTATTTATTTATTTTCTTGTGACTCTCTTAGTCTGTAATGAAATAACTCTGTTATTGTGCTTCATATAATCCTTTTTCTGCCAATTTTTTTCCTCTCTCTGTCAACAAACCAAGAAATCTCTTCAGAACATCTTGCTTTAATGATTCCCTGCTGTCCCAGAACCATTTGCTCATGGGACAGGTAGCATTTTTCATTTTGTCTCCTATATCTTTTTCTGGTGGGAATTGAGGTCCCAGTTGCATTATAGGATTCTTCTCCAGAACATCATATTGAGGATAAGACTCAATGGAGCATCAGGGTGCTCTGAAATGCACTCTACAGTCATTAATTTGGAGTTTAAAAAAAAAAAAAAAAAAACAGGAATACTGTGGCTTGCTGCAGGCAGGGAGTTACTTTTCTGAGAGTGAATGGAGGTGAAATCCTTTTTGAAATCAAGTGTTTAATTCACTATGACTTACTCTATTTTAAAAAACCCTACAACTGTATCCACCCCATAAGATGAGCTTTTGGTCTTTTTTTCCTTGGCTTGAGCTGCTCTGGAGGGTGACTGATAGCACAGAGGAGCTAAAAAAGCTGGAGGCAGTACTGATTTTGCTGTCAGCAGATGCTCTGTGGGGCACTGAGGGCACAGCTCAGCCTGAACTAGAAGAATGGACACTTAAGGACTTGGGGACATGAAATTAGTGCAAGTCTCAGGTAAGGAAGGGATTGCAATGTGATAGAACCTGTCAGTTTTCAGCTGAGCTCTGTAATATTTGTCTGAGAACAGTAATACCTAAACAGTACAGAGGAGAAAGGTGATGGCCCACATTCAGTTTGTTTCTACACTGATACTGTAAGAGCTAAGTTCCTTAGACAGGCTTTTGTGACTGCAAGTTCAGTAATAGATCATAAATATGTATATTATGGATTTAAGCATCTTCCTCTATCTTTGATGCGTGATTAAATCATGACTTAAATAAAAAATGCATTCTTTGTAGCATTATAAATTAATGATTGAGGGGCATTGTTTTACCATAGTGCTGCCTCAAACTGCAAATCTTACTTTGTGAAACAGGGAGGAGACTTTGTTTCCTGTCTTCAGAAACAAAAAATAAGTTGGTATTCCAATAAAAATCCCAAGTATTAAACAGCTAATTCTAGCACAAACTGTGTATGTCTCTGTAATTGAAGATAACAGAGTACTCAGCAATGCTTGGCAAAACCCTAGGCTAATAAAACTGAAACACATTATCCAGCTGAAACTACAGGGCAATGCTTAGGTCAAGAAAAGATAATTTTTCTAATCTAAATTAGATGAAGCTACCTGCATGTGAATTCTGTATCCTAAAAACTACATGCAATTATGTAGCAATAGTAAGTGCAGGTATATTCCCAGATTTTCTGGAGAAATTATATTTGAAATGGAGTGCTGCAAGGTCCTGAAGTTTGAATTGCCTTCTTGGCAGCACCCAAGAATATAAAGTGAACACAAGCAGAATTTTAATGGATGTATTCAGCTTGAAAAAAAGCATCCAAAAGTACAGATCTAGTTCTTTACCAAGTGTTTCTCTGAGTTTAGGTTTAGCCTTTCTTTGGCAGAAAACATGATCATTTTGACCATTTCAAAAAAAAGACCATTTCATAAGTCACTTGTGTTTTCCTGCACTACATGGGATGTTTATTCCTTCGGTAGTAAATAAAACAAGCACAAAAATAACTATATCAGGATTTCTCATCCAGTTAAATAATTCTGTGCCACACAGACCTGCCAACAATGCAGTTGCATTGAACCTGGGGGAAAGTGTTAGTGTTTGTCAGGCATTAATCTGCATCAGATTACGAACAAATGCTTCAGACAGTGGGAGCTGTGAGTGGATGTTTCTACCTAAAGAGACAGGGAGTTGTGCTTCATCTGCTGAGAATTAAATCATAACCAAAATATTCTGAACTAAGTTATGACTGGTTCTGTGAGAGAAGAACCTCTGGTTTCTGGTGTAAGCTGGTGTATGGGGTGCATTTTTAAAATGCTGTTTGTTCCAGAGCCAGGATGGTGTTTCACAGCTTACCTCTGACAGGAGCATATTTTGTGAGCTGTCTGGACATGGTTGTTCTTGTCTTTACCGGTTTATAGTGACCCCTCCTGTAGCTGCAGCGCCCGGCTGTGAGGGCAACAGTGCAACAGCACAGGCAGAGGAGAGAGGAGCAAAAGACAACAGGAATCAGCCAGACCCCCAAAGCTGCAGCTTCCCAGGTAGCTGTCTCGTTATCCGACGTGGAATTCCTCCCACTGTAGCCTTTGGTTTCATTGAGGTGTTGCTTGCTGCTGTTCAGGTGAGGAGGGGTGGGCACATGGGATAACACCTGGGCAGGCTTTGGGCTCAAAGCCAAGTGTGCACTCTTGTCTGAGCTGGTGACCGACCTGCTGCTTGTCCTCTTAGCAAAAGCAGTGGCTGCTGGGGAAGCTTCTGCCCTGGAATAGGCAGTGTCTCCAGTTCTTTGCACTGTCAGACTCCAGCTGGGGGTGGGGGTGTTTGCTGGTATGCCGTGGCTCGTGGCAGCAGGTGGAGCTCGGAGCAGAGGAGAACCTGACGTGGTGGCATTGTGATGTCGGCATCTTCCCTCCTCAGAGGTCTTTGTGCTGTGCTGCCTCTCAGATTTACTTGCTGAGAAGTAAGCATTTGGCTCTTGGGATTTCAGTTTCTCAAAAATGAGAAGATCTGGATCAATCCCTATTGAATTAGGATAATGTTAGTTTATTGATAAAAGCTTGTCTGCACACCCACAGAAAGGATCCGTGGAGACAGAAGCAGGGTAGGGAGCCCAAATAATGCCCTTTTGGATTGGAGGTGTCACTGCCTCGGGTTATGGGACACCTCATGGGATGCAAGGAATGTGCATTTTGGGATTGCACACAGCTAACTATGGGATGCTTAGGGAAGGATCCAAAGGTGAGGAAAGGGTACTGAGGGTAGGGCAATCCAGGAAAG